TCTACTATGTGCCGGTATTGTTTTCCATAAATCATGCATATTAACTCATTTGACATCATGTTGTTCTTATAAAGCAATATTTTCTAGTACTACTATTATCACCATTTCAAAGATAGGAAGAGTGAGGCACAAAGGGATTTAATAACTTTTCCTGGGCTCATAGATAGTAAACGCAGAGATAAGATTCAAACCTGGGCTGTCTGGCTGTTGTAAGACTCTTAACCATTGCTGGACTGACTATTCATGACACAAATAGGAAACCAACTCTGGACTAGGGCCAGATCCTGACTATCCCAGACTTCATTGAGCCATGCCAAGGCAATGTCAAGTCACCAGGGTCTTCCCTCTGGGGTCTAGAGGCAGAGGATGTCATAGTAAATAGCATGTTGCCTTTAACATCAAAAAGACAAGAGGTAAGTGTTGGCAAGGGTGTGGAGAAGAGGGAACCCTTGTACTCTGCTGGTGGGGATGTAAGTTGGCACAGCTATTATGGAAAACAGCATGAAAGTCCCTCACAAATGTAAAATATAAATACCATACTTTCCAGAAATCCCACGTCTGAGTATATATTCAAAGGAAATGAAATCAGTATGTCGAAGAGATGTCTGCGCCCCTTTTTCATTGCAGTATTATTCACAACAGCCAAGGGAAACAACCTACATATCTATCAATATGTGTCTATCAAGGTGGATGAATGAAGAAAATGTGATACCCCCAAACACACACACACACAATGGAATATTATTCAGCCATAAAAAAGAAATCTTGTCATTTGGGACAACATGGGTGAATCCGAAGGGCGTTATGCCAAGTGAAATAAGCCAGACACAGAAAGACAAATACTACATGATATCACACATATCCAATTCAAAACGTGTTGAATTTATAGAAGCAGAGAGTAGAATGTTGGTTGCCAGGGGGTAGGGTGATGAGAGAAATTGGGAGATGGTCAAGGATACAAAGTTTCAGTCATAAGATGAGCAAGTGTTGGGGGTCAAATGTATGGCATGGTGACTATTGTTAATCACACTTTACTGTGTGCTTGAAATTTGCTCAGAGAGATCTGAAGTGTCCTGGTTCCACTCCATCCCCACACAGGAAAAATGACTACATGAGATGATTAATATGTTCATTAACTTGATCATGGTAACCATGATGCATGCATGTATTAAATAATTACATTGTATTTATAATTTTATAATATAAATATATATATAAGTGTTACATAAAATATATGCAATAGGCCAGGGGCGGTGACTCACACCTGTAATCCCAGAACTTTGGGAGGCCGAGGCGGGCGGATCATGAGGTCAGGAGTTCCAGACCAGCCTGGCCAATGTGGTGAAATCCTGTCTCTACTAAAAATGCAAAAATTAGCGGGGTGTGGTGGCACGTGCCTGTAGTCCCAGCTACTTGGGAGGCTGAGGCAGGAAAATTGCTTGAACCCAGGAGGCATAGGTTGCAGTGAGCCAAGACTGTGCCACTGCACTCCAGCCTGGGCGACAGAGGAAGACTCCGTTTCAAATAAATAAATATTAAAATATATGCAATATATACAAATATAATTGTGTGTATACATGTAAATTTTACAATTGTATGCAATTTTATACAATTGTAATTTTATATTATAAAAATATATACATTTTTTATTGTTCCATTATACCCCAATAAAGATGGAATTTTTAAAAAAGAATTTAAAAGAGAGCATTCCCATAACTTTCCATTTCCTTATGCTTCTTTATTCTTCTTCTTCAAGAATTTCCTTACATCGTCACGTATTTACATTTACTTATTTCGTGTTGCCCCTGCCAGAACGTAAGCACCACAAGGATGAAGACTCCCTTGTATGCACCCCCTAGTGCTTTGTGCTTGGTATGCAGGAGGTGCACAGTACATATTTGTGGAATCTCCTTTGGTGATTCTAAGGGTCCCCTAAGTAAGAAGGGGGTGCAGCAAGAAAGGACTTGTCCTGCCTTATTTCTGGGGCCAGCAGTTACTGACAGAATTATGAATGATTCCCAGGCAAAAGAGAAATGATGAATGAATGGAGACAGGCTACCTCCACAGTGCGGAGATGGGGTTATCCGTGGTGCTGAACACAGAGGAGAGAAGTTAGGCCCCCTTGTCCAGGTGGGTGCCAGTCATTGAAACCCCGCAGTGGAAATGTCCTGGAGAAACAAGAAAGATCTTAAAGAAGATCCTGAGCCCTGGATGACTCTGAAGTGCTGATTCCTTTCTCAAGGCCTTGCAAACCTGGGTGGGAAAAACCCCCATTCTTGGCACTGACAACAGAGGTTCAGTGTGCAATACAAATGCTGGACCCACAGAGGAAGGAGAGCTTGGGGAGGAGTGTAGGTGACAAGGTGGGAAGCCACGTTCCTCACCAAGTGAGCAGAGCATGGTATTGAGTCACCCGAGACTCCAAAGTTTCAGCAGTTGGGACCAAGGAGGTCTATCAAGAGACTTGCCCTCACTGTTCCTCAGTTTCTTCATCTGTAGAATGGGATAATAATAATACCTACCTCAAAGGACTGTTGCAGAAATTGAAGGGGGTAGCATATGTGAGATGTTTAGGGCAGTGTCTGATACACAGCAAGTACTACAGAAGTGTTACCTGGAACGATGGCTGCAGCATCTGCTTCTGTTCCTGCTGTCCATAGGGAGCCAATCTGGAAAAGAGGGCTGGGCTTTAGGGCCATGGAAACCTCTGGGCAGGAAATCTGGCTTCAGAACCAGCCCTCCTTATCAGTATGCTCTGCCACCTTCCCATGAGTGGCAGGATGGATTGGAGATCAAGACCAGAAGCCAGAGAGTCAGCTGGACCTGTATTTGAATCCTGACTCCACTGTTTCTTAGCAATGTGTGTATTTGGGTTTGCACTAAACCTCTCTGTACCTCAATGTCCTCGTCTTTAAAATGGGAATATTAATAGTACCCAGCTCACAGGTAAAATATTTAGAACACCATTCTGTGTTAGTTTTATTGCTAACATGGGTGGTAGAGAGCCTAGGCTCCTCAGCTCTGCAGAAACCAGGGTCTAAATGGACCTTGATGAACTGCTGGAATCAGCTCTCCTTGTTTTGCTGGAATGCAGCTGCTGCTCCTCCGGAGGCTCCTGTTTAGATCATGGATGGAATTTCCCAAGATTGGCCACTAGATGGCACGCATGCTCTTTCCTGTCCCATCTAAGTAGGTCAGAATCATGAATAATGGGTATCAGATGGAAAGTCGTGTTTTATGTGCCAGACGCTGAGCGGCGCCCTTTGCCTGTTTTCTCATCACTGCCCACAGCAGTCCTCAGATTCAAAGAGCTACTCCACCAGAAATGCTACACCAGAAGTGCCTGGCACATGGGAAGGCTTCAAAAACACATTTGCGATTCTTCCTACAGTTGTGTATCCCAGCTGTTTTATTCCTCCTCCTCCCGGAGGAGGAACTGAGACACAGAGAAGATAAGTAGGCAGATGGAGCCCGGGTTCTAAGCCAGACCGGATGCTGATTGGAAGTTCAGCATCTTCCCCTCAACCTCATTTCAGGGGAAGTTTGGAAGCCTTGTGCTCACTTCAGGGTTCCCACCACATCTATTTTGGCTCTCTGGATTCTTTTTGAATCTACCATTTTCTTACTTCTGGTGTGATCTTAAACCAGCTATTTAAAATTTTAGAGCCTCAGTTTCTTACCCGCGCAAGAGGGGTTATCATGCCTTCCTTATTTTGGAGGTACCTCAGAAATAGCAACTGTACTAAAGCAGGCACTCTGGATGGTGGTTACTGCTGTCAATACCTTAAATGTTAACATAACCAGGGTGAATCCATTAGTTCCTTCCTTCCCTCCTTTCTTCCCTCCCTTTCTTCCTTCCTTCCTTATCTTTTCTCCCTCCTTTCTATCCTTTTCTTCCCTCCTTCTCTTCCCTCTTCCTTCCTTCCTTCTTTTTCTCTTTATGCCTGGTACAACAAAGTACCCATGGTTTCTGCCCTCATGAAACTTACAGTCCAAAATGCCCTTGTCTCTGTTCATTCCTGGGAAATTTTCACCTGCAATGTGTCTTGTTTCCTGTAACCTACAGTGACGTCGGTGCTGCCACCTGCCCTTCTCCCTGGGCCCCTCTCTCTGCAAGACCCAGGTGTTGTAGTTCACCCTACTCAAGCCCAACCCCTTCCCCACTACACTGGCTCAGAAGCAAGCCTGAAATCCTTTAGGTGCTGCAAGGCATCTTCATATCCCAACTACCTGACTCCCTTCGCTCTGCATCACAATGGCTTTCTAACTGGCTTTGCAATCAAAAGATTTTGCTGCAGTGCCTGGGGCCTTTGGGAGGGAAACACATAATGGGAAGATGGGATCTCATGAACTTGTTTACAGTAGAACAGTCTGGTTTTATATAATTTATATTTTGGGCCTATATGTAATATTCTGCTGCGAATGGCCGGACACAGTGGCTCATGCCTGTAATCCCAGCACTTTGGAAGTCCAAGGGGGTGGGTCACCTGAGGTCAAAAGTTCGAGACCAGCCCAGCCAACATGGTGAAACTCTGCCTCTACCAAAACTATAAAAATTAGCCAGGCATGGTGGCGTGCACCTGTAATCCCAGTTATTCGGGAGACTGAGGCAGGAGAGTAGCTTGAACCCAGGAGGCAGAGGTTGCAGTGAGCTGAGATCACGTGCCACTGTACTCCAGCCTGGGTGACAGAGGGGAAAAAAAAATTCTGCTACTAAAGAAAACCATCAAAGAAAACTACCATGACGGGTGGGAGGGAGATGAATTTTGAGATAATTCAGAGAACATCTCCATGAAAGATAATGTATTTGGGAATGGGTTTTAAAACTGGTTTCTAAGGAAAACGGAGTTTAACTTTTGAATGATAGTAATTTGGGGGTTATCTGGAAGCCAGCCCACTTGCCATCACCATTGACTGGGATCCCCACTTCTGATCTCAGCGAGGTCTTTAGCCATGTCCTGCCAATCTGCATTCAGGACTTTGCCTTCTCTGTGTTTCAGTGCCCTGGTTCCCAAGAACCATTCAAGAACTGGACAGATTTGCCAATCAGATTCTCAGCTATGGAGCGGAACTGGATGCTGACCACCCTGTGAGTCCATGGCCCATAGGTTGAGATTCTTTCAGTGCCTCTCCTCCACTTCCCTCCCCTCCTCCTACCTCCTCCACTTGGAGCAATGTGCTTGTTCACTTGTTCGACAAACACTTATTGTGTTCCTATTTACACGAGGGCTGGGAAAAATTAGCAAGACATTATTGTCATCATCATTATCATGGTCATTATTATTGTAGGAGCAAATATAAATCACTGTCCAGAAACTATTGTCTCTATATACTAGATCTGTGTGTGCACACACACACACATAGATGCAAATCATCATTGCTTCTGCCTGTGTACATCTATGGAGGTTTAAATCAAGTGCTTGGTAAACAGCAACCTGTACTAACAACTCTGCCACCTGCAGGGGGCAGGGGGGAGTGGCGACATTGAAACTGGATCTTAAAAACTGAGCGGGAAATGTTGGTCAGATAAGGAACAGAGAGGGCTTATGGCTGAAAGAACAGTGTGTGAGATACCAAGAGTCCTGGAAGCATCCACAATATTGTAGGAATGACTGGTTGGTGCATTAAGTATGAGAATGAGAGATGCGGTTGGGGCAGTGGGTTGGGATCAGACTGTAAAAGGTCTGATGGACCAGAAAGAGGAACACGGACTGGGCCTGTGCCTTGAGGCCATGGAGGCAGGTCCTTTAATGGTTTTTGAGTAGAGGACTGGGTAGGGGAAATTTCATCGTTCCCTCTACTCTGGGGCAGAGGGTCTGGGAAGGAACAGCCCAGGCTGCGGTGGCTCGGGGCCAGGTCTCACAGCCTCCTTTGGTGGGAAGGGTCACCGTCCTGTTGCCTGCCCTTTATTCTCTGCCAGGCAAATGACTCCTTAATCTTTAAATGACTTGCAGCCATTTACATTGGTGAAGGTTTAGCAGAACCCAGAGGAAGCGTCTACACTTCCACAGGAATCTGTTTTCTCCTCACATTTATGTGGGTCTTTACAATCAGCAAAAGATGTTCGCAAAGGCCTTTTTCAGGAGGCAAAGCAGATGCTTCCATCTTACAGAACTAGTGAGGCCTGAGGAGCCTGATGACTTTTCTAAGGCCCTGTGCTATACTGTGAATCCTGAGAGCTCATGGTGCCTGGAGACAAAGGCCTGGCTAGTGGCAGAAATCCAGGCTCTTTTACAGATGCCAAAGGCGAACGATTTCAGGGGCAGGCTGGCCTTTTGAAATATGAATGATTGATGCTTCTTCTAATTCAAATTGTAAAACCCATTATAGTGGGCTTGAAAACACAGAAGAACATGAGGAGGAAAATGAAAAGCGACCATAATTTTAGTTATTTCTGTTTTTCTCTCTGGCCTAGTCTGCATTTTTTAAATAATGAGAAAGCATATATAAACAGAAACAAAGGTGAATTTCCTCCCATCTCCCAGACTTCAAAAGAGAAAAAAAAAATCACCCATTATCACACTATTCTAAAATAATCAATAAATCAATATTAATATTTGGGTGCGCCTCCATCCTTCCTCCTTTCTCTCTGTCTCTCTCTCTCTCTCTCTCTAAAAATATATATATATATATGCACACAATTTTGTGTGTGTGTGTGTGTGTATACGTGCCACAACTTACTAACTAGCACCCAATTGCAAACGTATAGGAAGTTTGAGTCTCGCCTGTGCATGTTCATGTGAACTTCCAATGGCTTCCTTGAATATTAGCTGTGAAATTAAACTAAGTTATATTTAAACTAAGGATAGGAATTACATTTAAGGCTCTTAGTATATATTACTTAAATACTCTCCCTCTCCGAAAACTAAAGGTAAATGTGGGGACTTTTGGCCCCCATTCCATCCTCCTGTATACTATGTAGCCTACTCCCAGGAGCCCTGGGGTGCCAAGGTTGCTCACGTGGGACTCTGCTTTGTGTACCCATTCAACATGTCTCTGTCTGGGGCCTCTTAGCCATCAACTCTGTCCGCAAAGCATCTCCAAAGATACCGGTTCTCAGAAAAGCTATCTGTTCACCTCTGACCCCATCCAAGGGGTCTGTCCAGCAGGGCATTATTCTCCTCTTACCAAACTCCTGTCTTCCTGCCCCAAACCGGCATTTTTCCCATTGGTCTCACTCCCTTTTCATTTGGGGCAGTGGAAGACGCCAATACAAAAAGATTGACATTTTTCTCTCTGTATCCTCATGTCCCCTCCAAAGCTGCTGGCACTGGCGTTAAAAGTCTCTGGAATTCATTGGGCTTTAAAAGCCACGTCTTTGACTCCCTGCCCTCTCAATGTTATGAATTTTATTTTAAAAATACAACATATCAGGTACACAGTTCCCTGAAGACGAGGCGCCAGGCTCTCTCTGTTCCTTTGGTTTCTCATCAGATCCCAGGGAGGTGGGCCAAGGACAAAGCAAACCCTCCAGCGTGCTTTCCCAGAGACCCCGGGGCCCACATGCCTGGCCTCAGTGTGTGACTGCAAACAGAAACCAGCACAAGGAGTGGCGCAGGCAGCGGGTGTTCTTCTCCAAAGGACCCTCTGTTCTCTCTGTCCCATTGCATCCTGTGTAATCTCTTTGTCCCTGAACCCGGCCCTTGGCAGTATGCATGGATGTGTGACCCAATATCTCTCATCAGGTCCTGCTTTGAAAAATGAAGTAAAGGAAGGATTGTTTCCAAGATAGAGGGAAAACGGCCTCTGCCTTTCAGTTTTAACTAAGTGAGAAAATGAAATAGGAAAGCGAGATTCCCCAGTGACCATCTTGCCTCCTTTTCCCTTCTTTCCCAGTCTCCTTCCTTTCCCCTTTCCCACCTTGCTTGCTTTTTTCCACAAGCTTTTATTTAGCTAATGATATTAGGAGCTAATGCTTCTTCAGCATGGTCTATGTGCCAGGCACAATGCTAAATGCTTGGCATTCCTTTTTAAGTTTGAATATTATCACTGCCCTACGAGGGCTGTACACCTCATTTTCAGATGAGAAATCTCAGAGGGAGAGGGCCGTGTAGCATCACCTGTACGTGAACTATGTCTCAGGCCATATAAAAGACAGGGGGTTGAAGTGACGGATAAGACATGATCCCTGCCTCCCAGGGGGCCTGCAGTTGTACAGTACAGGGAGAAGGGGTGTTGATTGTTCTCAAAGCAGTGCAGGAGGGAGCTGGAATAGCAACTGTAAACTTGACAGGCAGAATCTAACCGGTTCTACTTAATTTCCATTTCCAAAATATACTCCCCTTTCTGTCCATGTTGTTCCCTTTACCTAAGAAGTTTTCTCTTGTCAACCTACCTGTTCTTTCCCCACTTGAAAACCTCTATTCATCTAAGGTCTAAATCACATATGTTGCCTCCCTAAAGCCTTCTTCCTGTCTCTTCCCAGACTTAAGTTTTTCACACTGTTACTCTGTTACTATCTCAGAGATGGCAACTATCACATTGGGCTTTATGCTTTGGGTATAGAGTATCAGATCACAGTAGGTTTACTTCATGACTTATAACCTCATGGGAGGCACAAGATACTCTATGCAAGTGAAAGGGCCATATGCATGTTTCCCAAACTATAGTTTATGAAAAATATCCCATGATCAAAGAGAGAAACTCTGTATTCTATAACCCTGCTTCAAATATACAAATTCCATGATCTCATCAGAAACTTTGGAAAGTCCTGCAAAAATGAAACCCAGTCAATGTAATGTTTCCTTAAACGTATTTACCCATGGAACTCTTTTTAATGAAATGCCTAGCAACATCATCTTGAGTGGTAGTTTTCCATGGAATACAGTTTGGATAATAATTAGTCAAATAATAACTTTAAAAAGTGCATAAATGCCAGGTTTTGTGAGTCAGATAGCATGTGCTATCATTTCTAAGGTCACTGTGGACTGGAATGGTTAGGGAGGCCTTCTAGAAAGAGGAATATCTGAGTCTAGCCCTCCAGTAACCAGAGCAAGCTAACTGCTCGGCAAACAATCCCCAGATCTCCATGGCTAACCCAATAAAAGTTCACTTCCAATGTGGGTCAGTAAGGAAACTGCTCCACACGGTCTTTCAGAACCAAGGCTCCTTCCACCAATGGCTGTACCCTCCTTCAACTCCTTGGAGCCCACTCATTCTGCCAGTGGATGGGAGAAGAAAGAGTGAGAATTGCTTCTGGGAAGTTTTCATGGGCCATGTCTGGAGATGACTCACATCCCTTCAATCAAATTCCATTGAGTAGAGCTCAGTCACATGCCCATTACTAACTGCAAAGGAGATGGGGGAAAATAGTTTAACAATGTTCTCTGAACAAAGGAGAGAGGACAGATCTTGGGGAGCACTAGCAGCCTCTGCCACATAGACCCCAACTCCAGAGGTACCCATTCCAGTTTACCTGGCAGATGCACTGGAGTCTAGGCTACAGATCTGCAATAGCGGGGGCTTCTTAGTGAAGAAAATATCAGCCAACACAACTGTCCTTCTGTGTATATTTCTACTTCTTGACCCAAGTCTTTGGAACTGTTTTTGTTTGTTTGTTTGTTTGTGTGTTTGTTTGTTTTATGGAATTTCACTCTTGCTGCCCAGGCTGGAGTACAATGGTGCGATCTCAGCTCACTGCAACCTCCACCTCCTGGGTTCAAGTGATTCTCCTGCCTCAGCCTCCCGCATAGCTAGGATTACAGGTCTGTGCCACCACATCCAGCTAGTTTTTGTATTTTTAGTAAAGATAGGGTTTCATCATGTTGGCCAGACTGGTCTCAAACTCCTGTCCTCAGATGATCCGCTTGCCTCGGCCTCCCAAAGTGCTGGGATTATGGGCATGAGCCACCGCGCCAGGCCTGAAACTGCTTTTTAATCTTTCAAGGCGTGGACATCAAGTTTTCCTGCTCTCCCGTAGGAAATTTGTTCTCCAGCAAATTGTCCAAGGACAAGACTACGTTTTTCAATACTTTTCTCCTTTTCTTTTCCTTTTGCCCACCTAGTTTTCTCCACCTGAGACCCCATCAGAGTTAATTCTAAGAGTCAGTCATCTAGTTGAGTCATCAAAGACTTGTTGCATTCTTACTA